CTTCATCTGTGTAGGGTCTAAACATGCTGGCCCTTCCAAAAGCACAGGGAAGACTGAATATGTAAGGTATATGCGTGAAAAAAAACACCTGTAACAGTCAGAAGATGGGGCTGTTTCCTCAAATGCAAAACACAAGGACACAAGGATTACAAAGAATCAGGAAATCATGATATCTCTAGAAGAAACTGATAAGCATCCTCTAATGGAACCTAAAGAAATGGAGATATATAAAATGACTAAAAGATAGTTCAGAATAATGCTCTTAAAGAAGTTCAGTGAACTATAAAAATATACTAATAGTAAATGTAATGCAAATTTAAAAACAATATAAGAATAAAGTTAAAAAGTTTGATAAACAAATAGAAACTAAAGAAATGGAATTCTGGAGAGAAAGAATACAATAGAAAGTTTCAATAGCAGAATCAAACAAAGAATGAGCTGAAAGAATATTTGAAACTATCTAGTCAGAGGAAAAAAAGACAAAATAATGAATAATAAGAAAGCATACAGGAATTATGGAACTCCATCAAGAGACTAAAAAATTCACATCATAAAAGTTGCAGGAGAAGAAAGAGAAAACGAGAAAAAGTATATTTAATTAAATAATGGCTGAAAACATTATTAATCTGGGGATAGGTGCCAACAATGAAGTACTCGAAGTGAAAAGGTTTGTATCAAATTCACCCAAAAGAAGAGTTCACCAAGAAACATAATAATGAAACAATCAGAAAGCAAAGAAAAAAAAATTCTGAGAGCAACAAAAATAAACATATTACATACAAAGAGTGCAAATATGATTATCAGTGCATTTCTCAACAGATATACTACAGACCAGAAGTAAATGGGATTATATATTCAAAATGCTTAAGGAAAAATCTTCAAACCAAGAATACTTTACCCAGAAAAGCTGTCTTTCAGAATGAGGGAGAAACAAAACTTTCTCAGAGAAATAAAAGCTAAGGAGTTCATCACCACTGTCTATGCCTTACATGAACTGCTAAACCAAGTTACTTAAAATGAAACAAAAGTATAATAATTAGTAACATAAAATATATGAAAGCAAAAACTAAATAGTGTAAGTAAAATAGATCCATGTTCAGAATACTCTGTAACTGTAGGGATGGTATAAAGGCATATTCATTCCCATTGCAAGATTTAAAAGACAAACCTATTATTAAAAACTATAGTTAAAATAAATTGTCAAAATACGTTAAAAAATGATGTAAATTCTGACATCAAAAAGATCAACTGTAGGCGGAAAGAAAAAGTGTAGAGTTATTGTATGCAGTCAAAGTTGTTATCATATTGAAACAGGATGCCATAAAATATTCTACATAAGACTCATGATAACCACAAAGTGAGAAACCTTTAGTAGAAGAAAAAAAAAGAATTCAAAGAATACCACTATCAAAAACATTCAAACCACAAAGTAAGACAGCAAGCAAGAAAGAAAATATCAAAGTACCTAAAAACAAACAAAAATTAACAAAAAGGCTGTAGTGCTTACCTATCAATAATTACTTTGAATGTAAATGGCTGAATTATCCAATAAAGGACATAGAGTGAATTTTTAAAAAATTTTTAAAGATCCACCTATATGCTGCATACAGGATACCTATCCCACTTTTTAAAAAACACATCGACACAAAGTGAGATGTTCCACATAAATGAAAACCAAAAGAGAGCAGAGGTCACTATACTTTTGTCAAAAAAATAAAATTTCCAATCAAAAACTGTAAAAAGGGACAAAGAGGACTTCTGCCAAGATGGCCAAATAGGAACAGCTCCGGAGCGCAGTTCCCAGTGAGAGTGATGCAGAAGGTGAGTGATCTCTATATTTCCAATTGAGGTACCAGGTTCATCTCAATGGGACTGGTTGGACAGTGGGTGTAGGCCAAGGAGGGCAAACCAAGGCAGGGTGGTGCGCTGGCTTACCCGAGAAGAGCAAGGGGCTTGCCCCCTCCGACCCAAGGGAGACCATCAAGGACTCTTCTGGACACTCCAGCACTCCAGCTCAGTTACTGCACTTTTCCCATGGTCTTTACATCCCACAGACTGGGAGATTCCCATGGGTGCCAACAACACCAGCATTGTGTGTTTCCAGCACAAAACTGGGTGGCCATTTTACCTGGTACTGTGGGTTTCCAGCACATAGCTGGGTGGTTGTTTTAGCCCATATCTGGAATGCCTGTGAGACAGAACTGCCCAATACCTTGGAAAAAAAGGAGGCTGAGGGTAGAGAGCCAAGTGACCTGGCTTAGTGAGTCCCACCCCTACAAAGACCAGCAAACTGAAACCCACTGGCTTGAGATTTACATAGACAGCACAGCAGTTTGAGCTCAACCTGTAACATCGAACTTGGTGTGGGGAGGAGCATCTGCCATTACTGAGGCAGTTCTAACTTTGCCTCTGTAAACAAAATCCCAAGGAAGTTTACACAGCAGCAGGGCAGAGCCAGTAGCTCAGCAATGCCTCTGCAGGCAGACTGTGACAAGACTTCCTCCTTGCTGTGCAGGGCATCTCTGAAAAAAGGCAGCAGTCCATCCAGGACTTACAAGTAATACCCCACCTTCCCAGGACAAAGAACTTGGGAAAAGGGACAGTCAAGAGTTCTGCTGAAACAAACTTAAACATCCCTGCCCAGCAGTTCTGAAGGGAACAACAAAGCTTCCAGCACAACACGAGCTCTGATAAGGGACAGGCTGCCTCCTCAAGTGGCTCTTTGACCCCTGTATATCCAAAGAGGCACCTCATACAGGAGAGCTCTGGCTGACATCTGGTGGGTACTTTTCTGGCATGAAGCTATCAGAGGAAGAAACAGGCAGCAATCCTTGCTGTTCTGTAAGCCCCACAGGTGATTCCCAGGCAAGCAAGGTCTGGAATGCACCTCTAGCAGTCCTGCAGCAGAGGGGCCTGACCACTAGAAGGAAAACTAACAAACAGAAAGAAATAGCTTCAACATCAATGGAAAGGACATCCACTCAAGAAACCCCATCTGAGAGTCACCAATCAAAGACCAAAGGTAGATAAATCCATGAAGACGGGAAGGAACAAGTGCAAAAAGGCTGAAATCACCAAAAATCAGAATGCCTCTCCTTCTCCAAGGGATCACAGCTCCTCATCATGAAGGGAACAAAACTGGATGGAGAATGAGTTTGACAAATGGACAGAAGCAGACTTCAGAAGGTGGGTAATAACAAACTTCTCTGAGCTAAAGGAACACACTCTAACCCAATGCAAAGAAACTAAGAACCTTAAAAAAAGGTTAGACAACAAGCTAAATAAAATAACCAGCTTAGAGAAGAACATAAACGACTTGATGGAACTGAAAAACACAGCACAAGACCTTCGCAAAGCATACACAAGTTTCAATACCCAAATCGATCAAGCAGAAGAAAGGATATCAGAGATGGAAGATCAACTCAATGAAATAAAACAAGAAGGCAAGATTAGAGAAAAAAATGTAAAAAGAAATGAACAAAACCTCCAAGAAATGTGGGATTATGTGAAAGATCTAATATATTTTTGATCAGGGTACCCAAATGCAACAGGGAGAATAAATCCAAGCAGGAAAACAATCTTCAGGATATTATCCAGCAGAACTTTCCCAAATTTGAAAGGCAGGCCAACATTCAAATCCAGGAAATGCAGAGAAGACCACAAAGATATTCCTCAAGAAGAGCAACCCCAAGGCACATAATCATCAGATTCACCAGGGTTGAAATGAAGGAAAAAATACTAAGGGCAACCAGAGAGAAAGGTCAGGTTACCCACAAAGGGAAGCCCATCAGACTCACAGAGGATCCCTTGGGAGAAACTCTACAAGGCCAAAGAGTGGGGACCAATATTCAACATCCTTAAAGAAAAGAACTTTCAACCTAGACTACATATCCAGCCAAACAAGCTTCATAAGCGAAGGAGAAATAAAATCCTTTATGAACAAGCAATTGCTGGGAGATTTCATCACCACCAAGCCTGCCTTACAAGAGCTCCTGAAGGAAGCACTAAATGCAGAAAGGAACAACTAGTACCAGGCAGTGTAAAAATGTATGAATGGTAAAGACCATTGACACAATGAAGAAACTGCATCAACTAATGGGCTAAACAATCAGCTAATATCAAAATGGCAGGATCAAATTCACACATAACAATATTATCCTTAAATGTAAATAAGCTAAATGACTAAATCAAAACATACAGACTAGCAAATTGGATAGAGTCAAGACCCATCAGTGTGCTGTATTGAGGAGACCCATCTCATGTGAAAAGACATGCATGACTCAAAATAAAGGGATGGGGAAGATTTACCAAGCAAATGAAAAACAAAACAAAAAAAAAAGCAAGGGTTGCAATCCTAGTTTCCAATAAAACAGACATTAAACCAATGAAGATCAAAAGAAACAAAGAAGAGCCTTATATAATGGTAAAGGGATCAATGCAAACAGGAGAGCTAACTATCCTAAATATACATGAACCACATACAGGAGCACCCATATATATAAAGCAAGTTCTTAATGATCTACAAAGAGACTTAGACTCCCACACAATAATAATGGGAGACTTTAACACCCCACTGTCAATATTAGACAGATCTACGAGACAGAAAATTAACAAGAATATCCAGGACTTGAACTCAGATCTGGACCAAGTGGACCAGATCTACAGAACTCTTCACCCCAAATCCACAGAATATACATTCTTCTCAGTACCACATCACACCTACTCTAAAATTGACCACATAATTGGAAGTAAATCACTCCTCAGCAAATGCAAAAGAAGGGAAATCATAGCAAACAGTCTCTCAGACCACAGTGCAATCACATTAGATCTCGAGATTAAGACACTAACTCAGAACCGTACAAGGAAATGGAAACTGAACAACTGGCTCTTGAATGTTGACTGGATAAACAATGAAATGAAGGCAGAAATAAAGATGTTCTTCGAAACCAACAAGAACGAAGACACAACATACCAGAATCTCTGGGACACATTTAAAGCAGTGTCTAGAGGGAAATTTTTAGCACTAAATGCCCATATAAGAAGTGAGGAAAGATCTAAAATCGACACCCTATTATCACAATTAAAAGAACTAGAGGAGTAAGATCAAACAAATTCAAAAGCTGGCAGAAGACAAGAAATCACTAAGTTTGGAGCAGAACTGAAGGAGACAGAGATACAAAAAAACCCTTCAAAAAAAAAATCAATGAATTCAGGAGCTGGTTTTTTGAAAAGATCAATAAAACAGATAAACCAATAGCCAGACTAACGAAAAAGAAGAGAGAAGAATTGAATATATGCAATTAAAAATGATAAAGGAAATCTCACCACCAATCCCACAGATACAAACTACCATTAGAGATTACTACAAACACCTCTATGCACATTAACTAGTAAATCTAGAAGAAATTGATAAATTCCTGGATACTACCCCCCGAAAGATTAAACCAGGAAGAAGGTGAATCCCTGAATAGACCGATAACAAAGTCTGAAGTTGAGGCAGCAGTTAATATCCTACTAACCAAAAAAAAAAAAAAAAAAAAAAAAAAAAACAACCAGGTCCAGATGGGCCACAGCCGAATTATACCAGACGTACAAAGAGGAACTGGTACCATTCCTTCTGAAACTGTTCCAAACTACAAAAAGAGGGAATCCTCCCTAATTCATTTTATGAGACCAACATCATCCTGATACCAAAGCCTGGCAGGTGCAACAAAAAATGAAAATTTCAGGCCAATATCCCTGATGAACGTCAAAGTGAAAATCCTCAATTAAGTACTGGCAAACCGAATCCTACAGCAAATCAAAAAGCTTATCCATCACAATAAAGTCAGCTTCATCCTGCAGATGCAAGCCTGGTTCAACATACACAATGCTATAAATGTAATCCATTACATAAACAGAAACAAAGACAAAAACCACATTATCTCAATAGATGCAGAGAATGCCTCTGACAAAATTCAACAGCCCTTTATGTTAAAAACTCTTAATAAACTAGGTATCAATGGAATATATCTCAAAATAATAAAAGCTATTTATGACAAACCCCTAGCCAATATCACACTGAATGGTAAAAAACTAGAAGCACTCCCTTTGAAAACTGGCACTAGAAAAGGATGCCCTCTCTCACCACTATTCAACATACTACTGGAAGTTCTGGCCAGAGCAATCAGGTAAGAAAAAGAAATAAAAGGTGTTCAATTAGGAAAAGAGGATGTCAAATTGTCTCTATTTGCAGACAACATGATTGTGTATTTGGAAGACCCTATTGTCACAGCCCAAAATCTCCTTAATATGATAAGCAACTTCAGCAAAGTCTCAGGATAGAAAATTACTGTGCAAAAATCACAAGCATTCCTATACACCAATAACAGACAAACAGAGAGCCAAATCATGAGTGAACTCCCATTCACGATTGCTACAAAGAAAATAAAATACCTAGGAATACAACTAGTAAGGGATGTGAAGGACCACTTCAAAGGGAACTATAAACCACTGATCAAGGAAATAAAAGAGGACACAAAGATAGAAAAACATTCCATGATCATGGTTAGGAAGAATCAATTATCATGAAAATGGCCATACTACCCAAAGTAATTTATAGAATCAATGCCATCCTCATCAGGCTACCATTGGCTGTCTTCACAGACTGGAAAAAACATCTTAAACTTCATATGGAACCAAGAAAGAGCCCACATAGCCAAGAGAATCCTAAGCAAAAATAAAATAACAAAGCTGGAGGCATCACGCTACCTAACTTCAAACTATACTACAAGGCTACGGTGATCAAAACAGCATGGTAATCGTGCCAAAAAATATAGACCAATGAAACAGAACACAGGGCTCAAAAGTGGCTTTTGACAAACCTGACAGAAACAAGCAATAGGGAAAGGATTCCCTGTTTAATAAACAGTGTTGAGAAAACTGGCTAGCCATGTGCAGAAAGCCGAAACTGGACTCCCTGCTTGCACCTTATACAAAAACTAACTCCAGATAGATTAAAAATTTAAACATAAAATCTAACACCACAAAAACTCCAGAAGAAAACCTAGGCAACACCATTCAGGACATAGGCATAGGCAAGGACTTCATGATTAAAACACCAAAAGCAATGACAACAAAAGCCAAAATAGACAAATCAGATCTAATTAAACTTAAGAGCTTCTGTACAGCAAACGAAATAATCATTAGAGTGAAGCAGCAACCAACAGAAGGGGAAAAAATTTTTGCAATCTACCCATCTGACAAAGGGCTAATATCTAGAAACTACAAATAACTTAAATTTACAAGAAAAAAACAACCCCATCAAAAAGCGGGCAAAGGATGTGAACACTTTTCAAAAGAGACATTTACGCAGCCAAAAAACATATGAAAAAATGCTCATCATCACTGGTCATTACAGAAATGCAACTCAAAACCACACTGAGATACCATCTCACACCAGTTAGAATGGCAATCATTAAAAAATCTGGAGACGACAGATGCTGGAGAGGATATGGAAACAAGGAATGTTTGTGAGTGTAAACTAGTTCAACCATTGTGGAAGACAGTGTGGCAATTCCTCAAGCATCTAGAACTAGAAATACCATTTGACCTAGCAATCCCATTACTGGGTATATTAAAAGGATTATAAATTGTCCTCTTATAAAGACATATGCACACATATGTTCATTGTGGCACTGTTTACAAAAGCAAGGACTTGGAACTAACCCAAATGCTCATCAATGATAGACGAAAAAGAAAATGTGGCACCTATATATCATAAAATACTATGCAGCCATAAAAAAGAATTAGTTCATGTCCTTCACAGGGAAATGGATGAAACTGGAAACCAACATTCTCAGCAAACTAATGCAAGACCAGAAAACCAAACACCACATGTTCTCACTCATAAGTGGGTGTTGAACAATGAGAACACATGGACACAGGGAGGGGAACATCACACACTGGGGCCTGTTGAGGGGTGAGGAGTATTAGGGGAGGGATAGGAGGGGGTAGGGGGATTGGGGACGGATAACATTAGGAGAAATACCTAATATAGGTGACGGGGACATGGATGCAGCAAACCACCATGGCATGTGTATACCTATGCAACAATTCTGCACAACCTGTGTATGTACCCCAGAACTTAAAGTATAATTTTTAAAAAGGGACAGAGAAGCATATTATATAATGATAAAGAGGTCAATTCATCAAAAGAATGTAACACTTGTAAAAATATATGCTGCAAATACAGAAGAACTTAAAAACATAAAGCAAATATTAAATGTCTGAAAGAGGAAAATTAATAAGAAAACATTGGACTTGAACTATACTTTACATAAAGTGAACCTAATAGATATATACAAAATATTCCATCCGACAGCACCAGAATTACACATTCTTCTCAAACACATGCAGTCATTCTTTAGGAAATATCACATATAAGGCATTTTTTCACCACAATGATACGAATCTAGACACAATAGCAGAATAAATTTTAGAAAATTCACAAATATATGGAAATGAAACATGGTCTTGAAAACCAATGTGTTAATAAAGAATTTTTTTTTTTTTTTTTGAGACGGAGTTTCGCTCGTTACCCAGGCTGGAGTGCAATGGCGCGATCTCGGCTCACCGCAACCCCGGTTCAGGCAATTCTCCTGCCCCAGCCTCCTGAGTCGCTGGGATTACAGGCACGCGCCACCATGCCCAGCTGATTTTTTGTATTTTTAGTAGAGACGGGGTTTCACCATGTTGACCAGGGTGGTCTCGATCTCTTGACCTCGTGATCCACCCGCCTCGGCCTCCCACAGTGCTGGGATTACAGGCTTGAGCCAACTCGCCTGGCCAGAAATTTTTAACTTCCTGGTTAAGCAATTACACGCCAATAATTGGATAATCTAGAAAAATGAATAGATTCTAAGAAACATACAACCAGTCATGACTAAATCTGTAAAAGAGGGAATATCTGAACAGACCAATAATTAGTAAGCAGAGTAAGTCAGTAAGAAAAAGTCTACCATGAAAGAAAAGTCCTGTATCTTAGAAGTTCTATGCCCAATTCTACCAAGCATTTAAAAAAGAATTAATACCAATCTTTCTGAAACTGTTCCAAAAAAATTGAAAAAGAAGGAATACTTCCAATTTCAGTTTACTGGACCAGCACTACCCTAATACCAAAACCAGATAAGGACATTATAAGAAAAAAAAAAAAATACTAACCAATATTCATGATGAAGATAAATGCAAACATCCTCCACAAAATACTGTCAAACCAAATTCAATGACACATTAAATAAGTATCACCTATCAACATCAAGTGAGATTTATCCCAGGGAGGCACAGAAGCTTCAATATATGCAAATCAATAAATGTGATATATTATATCAACAGACTAAAGGACAAAAAGCACATGATCACCTCAATACACACAGAAGAGGCATTTGACAAAATTTAACATCCTTTCACAGTTGAAAAAAAAACTCTCACCAAATTACATATAAAGGCCATACATGACAACCCTCGGCTAACATCATAATCAACAGTTAAAAATTAAAAGCCTTTCCTCTAAGATCTGGACAAGAATGCCCACTCTCACCACTTCTATTCAGCATTAGTACTGGAAGTCCCAGCCAAATAAATTAGACAAGAGAAAGAAATAAAAGGCATACAAAGAGACCAGGAAGAAATAAAATTGTCATTGTTTGCTGACAATATAATACTATACATAAAAACCCTTAAGATTCTCATTAAACTATTAGATGACAGAGACAAAAACTTCAGTTATATTAAGGCATTGAGATTTTGACACTACTTTTGAAGCACCAAGAATACCCTTACTTAAATCAATAAATTTAAAATTAGTGGCATTGGTCTAGCATTTGATTGTTAAAAGCCAAAAGTTCAGATAGAAACAGCATGTCATTTGGTAGAACTGTTGACTGCTACAACTTGGAAGGCAGGCAATGTGTATGCTAAGCCTGCAGCTCTTTGGAAAGCAGTTGGAGAAAATGAGAATGAGAATGTGATTTATATTTTAAGAAGATCACTCTGGCTGCTATGT